GACTTATGCGCCGCGACATTTGCGCCGCCATTGTTTTAAAAATCCGGATCCGAAAAATGCCGGATATGCGAAATTTTCAGTTCGGATATCGGATCCGGATATCCGAAGATTTCCAACTATCCGACACCCCTACTAAAGTAAGGTCCGGCTGTAGTTATTCATATATTTTTAATGATAATGGCGGCGCAAAAGTCGCCCGGCGCAAAAGTCGCGGCGCAAAGGTTCCCCGGCGCAAAAGTCACTCGGCGCATATGTCGCGGCGCAAGAGTCGCGGCGCAAGAGTCGCGGCGCAAATGTTCACGGCGCAAAAGTCACGGAACCTTTTCTGTCAGTTAAAAATTAATTTTAGGAAAATTTTGCTTTATTATAGATACTTCTTTTTAATTCTCTAAATAAGTTTAAAACTGGCCGGATTAAATTAACAAATTAAATATTTTTTTAATAAAAATATTTTTTAGGTGTAAATAAGGATTCTTTAATTATTACTGAGAATTCTTTCAAAAAACCACAAAATTGCACCAATTATTCTTTATTTTATTTTGAAATTAAATGCAAAATTGAAGGAAAATTTAGTGATAATGGAATGTATATTGGGCTTAAAATGGATAGTGCTGATCATAAATATATTAGATTTGGTGCAAATATTGCTTCAATTATTAATAAAGATGATAAAAAATTTAAAGTTCCATTTTTTGCTTGGAAAGATAACGATGTTTTTGGTTGCGGATTAGTTTATCCGCCTGTTGGTGTTCCCTATGTTTTCTTTACTCAAAATGGGAAACAAATTGGTAAAGAATTAATATTTTAAATATAATTTTAAAAAAATTTTTTTTTAAAGGTAAAGCTGTTATGTTAAAGGACAATAATGGATCACTCAAGCCATATATTTTATTGAATTGTTGTTTTGTGGAAACAAATTTTGGAAATAATTTGGAGAATAAACCTTTTATTTATGATTTTTCAAAACATTTAGTTCCCAAATTTTATTGAAAGATTTTATTCGATTTTTTTATTAATCTTTTATCAGTTAAAACAATTTATTTATATTTTTGAATTTTACAATTTTTGAATAAAATTATTTTTTAAGATTTTTCAAAAAAATTTTTTTAATAGAAAGGGCAAAAAAAGGAATTTTACAAAAACTAAGTGAATTAGAACATTTAAAACTATACAAATATTCTACTGTTGTATGTCCACAATCTTTCATTATTCTGGACATTCCCATAATTTTTAAAAGCCTCATTTAAATAAAAAAGGAAAGAAACGGAAATTGAATAAGAAATTAAATAAAAATGAGTGTTAGAAGGAAAAATAAAAATTTAAATAAAAAGGAAATTTGGGTTTTTTGGACAAAAAATAATTCAGAAAAAAGTTTGAATAAAAGAAAAAATAAAAATATTTTTAGTAATATGTATATTTGTATAGAACAGCTGAAAAGTATATATTGAAGGAGGAAATGAATGACCCTAACAAACAGAGCTGTTTCGAAACAAAAAAATCTTCGAAAATCGGAAATCGAAAATCGAAAGAAATCCAAAAATATCGAAATCGAAAATCGAAAATATTTTTCAAAATCTTCGAAATCGAAAATCGAAAGAAAAATAACCTCGAAAATCGAAAATCGAAAAACGAAAATCGAAAAAAAAAAATTTTTAATAAAAAATTGGAAGATAAATTTTTGTTGTGTTTGGTTATGTTACTTTGTTATGTTACTTTTGCTTGAACTTTAAGGAATTGGGGAAAACTAATAACTAGAATCGGAGATTTAGGGAAAACACGGATATCCAAAAAATCCGAATCCGGATCTTCGGCACCAACCCCGACCTATTAAATCTTGGCTCCGGACCCGGTGCTTTTCTAAGCTGCTTCATGTTGTCTCAAGACTCCGGGTGGAAAGATAAAGATTAATATTTCATCATGAGATCTGTGAGGATTAAGAGGGATAATGGAGGCTTTGAGTACTATCCCCTGATATAGTAAAGCAGAGCTAGGCCGCTTTACTCATAAGGTGGCGCGGTACCTGGCATAGGGTCCAAGCATGGAGGGTGGTTAAAATTAATTTTTAAAATTAATTTAAAATTAAAATTTAAAATTAATTTAAAATTAAAATTTAAGTTAATTCTTCAATATACCGGAGCCGAAGCATAATATTGTTAAGAGATCATGGGTTCCTCCATTCTGCGCCGCAGGCGAAAATTTTGATAATTTTGGAGGATCCTTAAGCCAAAAGTCTTCCTTTTTCTGCGCCGCAGGCGAAAATTTTAAAATTTTGGAGGATCCTTAACGCAAAATTCTTTACAAATTAAAAATTTTTTAAATTTATAATGGCCGACAGGTCAGAATTCTCCGCTTTTGGCGCCAAAAATTCAAATTTTTTCAAAAATTCGGAAATCGAAAATCGAAAATATCTCAAAATTTCGAAAATCGGAAATCGAAAATCGAAAGGAAAAAAACCTCGAAAATCGAAAAACGAAAATCGAAAATCGAAATTTCGAAACAGCTCTGCTAACAAAGTGGACAGAAAAAAATTGTTGAGGGAAAAGCTAAGGGAAATAAGCTAAAAATAAACAAATAAGTATACTCCCTATGGGAATCAATTCTTTGCGGTGAAAGGCTAATATTGTGAGGGAAAAAATAACAACAGCTGGTTTATTTATGTAAATGTATATAAGTACATATTATTAGTTAATTTAAATATTAAATTAATTGGAAAGAGCATAAAAAGAGTAGGGATTGAAGATCAAAATTGTGATACAAGACTCAAGATATCTTAAAAAACTTAGATCTCGACAACCGAGATTATTTGAGACCTTGTCTCAGTACGATCTCTAAAAAAGGAGTTTTAATTGTTTAAACATTAAATTTATTTTATAAGAAAAGAAATGTGAAATAAAACAAAAATGAAAAGGATTAAAAATTGGACATCTTAAAATATTCTGGGCCAAACTTTAATATACCTATTTTTAATTTATAAGGGACATACATATATATTTATTAAAATTAAAAAAGGAGACTAAAAAGTACAAATTAAAAATATAATGAAAATCCAATTAAAAAGAATATTTTTTATAATAAAAAAGTTGAGAGGATTTCTCAGAAAAATAGCAGTTAAGCATATTACTTTGAATTGATTGGACTGTTGGGAAGGTAAAAATAAGAGAGTGGGGAAGGAGCGGCACTTAAAAATGAGGAAAGGACCGGAAACTGGTCAGGAATAAAAATAAATGTCTGAGAAGAAATTAAAAAAAAGTAATAATAAATATAGTCAAAATCTCTCTAAAATATATCAACTTCGGGATCGGATTTAGTTTTTGTATAAAAAGTAATGTGTGGGACGCCAAGCTTTAACAAATAGGTAAGTTAAAAATAAAAGTTGGAATTTTAAAAAATTAACTTACGCGAATGGTCCCGGTGGTTAAGTTGGTAAATTGAGTATTTTTGAAGGGTGAAAATAAAATACCTATTTAAAGATGCTCAATTTATTTTTAAAACTTGATTTTTCATCAATCTAGTTATAAAATTAATCTTTTTTGTAAATATGTAATATTTTTATCTTTATTAATTTACTGTTTTGGGTTAACATTTAGAATTGAACAGTTTTGCGTCATAAAAGCCATATATAAACGTGATATAAACAGTTAAAAATAATAAAATGGAAAATTTATGACGTTATTGATAGGGAAAAAAGATAAAATTTTAACTAAAATTGATAAAAAATGTTATAAATAAGTCATTAAGATTTTCTAAAAAATTATTTTCTTAATTTTATAATTAATAAATTCTTTTTTTGGTTTAATAAAAATTAAAATTCCCCCCCCCCCTCCTCTGGTTAGTTAAAAGTAGGGTTCAATATTACTGGGCAAGGACTGAGCTTATGAAGACCGAGGGTTGCAGGGAATTCGAACCGCAGGGACGGGGAACGGGGGCTCTGGGGAGAGACCTCCCCCCGTCCCCGGTGAATTCCCTTCCCCGGGGACGGGAAGTTAAAATACCCTAGTTAAAAGTACTTCTGATTTTATGAAATAACTTCAATGTCCCCCTTATTTTGCAGGTTTTTAAGGTAGTATTTAATCATATGAGTGTTCAGATATTTTTAATATTTTAAATAAAAAAATAATTTATTCAAATGCGCGTTTTTTAATAATAACAAAAAATAAAGTGTGTATGTGTGTATTTATTTATTTGATTTACAGCATGTTTTTATTTTTGAAAAAAAAAATTCTCGTTAAATAAATTGTTTCATTCGGGTCACTCCTTTTAATGCATTAACTGACAGCCACGCAAACTGTCAGTATATTTTAGAGAGAAAATTATTTTCCTTTCCACCAATTTTTCAATCCAAAGCCACTCTCCCTCAAACAATTTTCGATCGTCTTTTGCATGAAGGACGAAATAATGTTTTGATGGATGGAAGAATTTTTGGTTAAAGAAGGGAAGAATTATTCCCTCTGCGCATTTTTATAACACACAAAATGCACATTGAAAGCTATTTTCCCCAAATTCTCAATCCAAATGCTTTTGCTTTATGTCGATTAAATAATTGCTCACGCCACGTAAATTTACAACAATAAACAATAAATATTTGTAAATAAATCAAATACTTATATTCAAAAACTTTCTCCTTATTAATTTTATTTTAAAACATTAAAGCAATTCGCAGAAAAGAACAATTCATAGAAATGAAAGTAAAAGGATTTTCCAAATAGGAATTATTAATTATTTTTCGTAGTGGAAGTCAAGTCAAATCCTAACATTAACCTTAAAGGATTACTCATTCGGAATATCCTGTTTTAGTTTATTGAGTTACAATCAAGCAGAAAGGGTTTAAGGGGTCATTATTTATTACTTTATGCCTTAATGGCCCATGTTCCCTTATACATATTTCAGTGAATTGTCTTTCGGTGAGTTTTTCTGGTTTACAAGGTTTTTTGTAATAATAAACTTTCTTTTTTATTGTTAATAGTTTTGTGATAAAATCAGTAAAAGATTAAAGTAACAGAATGCGCTTCTTTTTCTCTTCATTTATTCTCCTTTATTTTCTTTTTTATTTTGTAATTGCCAAAGTAGAAGAAAAAAGGCCAATAAAAGAAAAACAAAGTAATTCTGTTAATGAAGATGAAAATCAAAAAATTGAAGAAAAAGAAGTTGATTTATCTAATGGTTATTACCTAAATATGCTTGGAAAAATTTAAAGAAATTTTTTTAAAGGATTCGGAACAGACATTGATTGGGTACAGTGGAACGAAGCTGTTTCTATAGCTTTGGATTTGAATAAACCTATATTTTTGCTTATACACAAAACTTGGTGTGGCGCTTGCCAAGGTATGATGGACAATTAAACAAATTTTAGGGTGAACTCCGTAATGGCGCTTGTTTTTTTTCTTCAAAAAGAAAAATATAAAAGAATAAGAGAATTTAGTGGATCCCAACGGGAAAAGCATCGTTTTGGTTCCCCATCCCTCTATTGTACCTCAACTCCTTCCAGCGATGGAGTACGATTAACACTCTCTAGAAGATACACAGTTAGACTTGTTAGATTGTCTTTGGATCACTAATAATGCGAGTTTCATTGGCTCTACTCCAGTTTATGCGTCCAATCGACTTTTATGCGTCCAATGAAAGTTTATGCGTCCAATAAAAAGAAAATTGAATTTTTCTTGGTATTGCACAGTTGGAATATGGTTCTACAACATTTCTTCATGTTTGAGACCTACGCCCACTGGGTCTGTGACCATTCCTTACCCTATCACTCGAAATTTTTTAAAGTTACAGCCAATTTTTTAAAATTTCAGAAAACGATTATAACTTTCAGAAATTTCGACGGGTCGGTTAATGACGGTCCGAGACCCAGTGGACGTAGGTCCCGCACATGAAGAAATGGTTTGGAGTTATACCCCAACTTTGCAATACCAAGAAAAATCCAATTTTCTTTTTATTGGACGCATAAACTTTCATTGGACGCATAAAAGTCGATAGGACGCATAAACTGGAGTAGAGCCGTTTCATTTTCCCCATGTTATTTGTAATATACTCATGCAGGGGGGGGGGGGGGGGGGGAGGACTTAACCTATTTTTTAAAGTATGGACTTTATTAAAATATTTTTTTAAATTTAGCATTGAAAAAAAGTTTTGCCAGTTCAAATAAACGAGATGAATTAGTAGAATTAAGCAAACAATTTGTAATGGTTAATGTAGAAGATGATGATGAACCAGAAGAGGAAGAATATGCCCCAGATGGCCGTTATATTCCTCGATTATTTATTTTGAGTAGGTGAGGGAGGGGAAGGAAGAAAATTAAAATTTAATTTTAAAAACTTTTTAAAGATAAAGAAGGACATCCACTAACTGTGGATAATGCTAAAAATTATCCAAACAACAAACAATATTTCCCACAAGTTCCAGATGTTATAATTGCAATGAAACTTGGACTTAAAAAGTTCGAAGGGTCAGAAGAAAGGGAAGAGGTTGTTGAGGAAGAAAAGAAAGTGAAGAAAGATGAAAAAGTGAAGGAAAAGGAATTAAAGGTATTCGACAGTTAAAGACTTGAATTAAGCTATCCCACACGTTTTCAGAAAATTTTTCAATAGGGGTTGGAAAAAATAAACTAAAAAATAAAATAGCATAGGGGAAATACATAGAGGAATTATTAAATTTAAAAAATTAAGGAAAAAGCTAAAAAAGAAAACAAAAAACCAGCAAGCGGCGGCTGTCCACACGCAGCTGGCAAAGCTGCCAAAAAAGCGGAGGAAGAAGCAAAAAAGAATAAAGTGGTCAAGGATAAAAACGTTGAAACAAAAAAAGAAGCTGATAAAAAAGTAAAGGAAAAAGTGAAGGATGGAGCTACTAAAGAAAAAGAAGGGGCCAAAAAAGAAAAACAAAAGACTGCCGAAAAAACAAAGAAAAGTAAGGAGGACAAAGAAAAGCCTAAAAAGACTGAGAAAAAGAAGAAAGAAAAGGAAGAACTTTAAGATAAAAAAAATTCTTTCAAGTTTTATAAATTATACAATCAAACCTCTCTCATAAATACCACTTTTTGGGGATGAATTTAGCCGACGTATGAAAGTGACGAGCAGAGGTGGATCAGAATTCCGACGTTTTTTCGTTCCAATTTCCGAAAAAATTTTAATTTCCGATTTCCGACTTTTGAGCCAGTTCCGATTTCCGACACCTCGGACTGTTCCGACCCACCTCTGGTGACGAGGGGATTCCATATGAGAGAGGTTTGACTGTAATTTTTAAAAATAAAGAGCTCCAATTTGAATTGGTGCTCTCCCTAAATATTTTAGGTTTTAAACAGGTTCGGGTAAATAATTGTAATTCCCCTTTTCATTAAAAATACTTAAAAAGCGAGAGATTTTTATTTGCTTGAAAATCATTTTAAAAATTATTTTGTGTTATCATTATTTTGTCATTTGGGAAAATAATAAAATATAATTATAATATTATTAAAATCATTATCGCAATCACTTATAGGAATGTAAATTTAATTAATATATATTTTTGTCTATTACATCGATAATTTGAGGAGGAAAAGATATTTTGCAAATTAAAAACAATATTATATTTTTAAATAACTTCTGTAAGAAGGTCACACAATGTAGAAGCAACACCTTCTCTGCTACTTCGTATTGTAAGTCGATACATCTAGTTTTTTGTAAATTTTTTTAAATTTAAATTCTAGGGGTTTTTAGAGGTATCTAAGGCAAAAAGAATTTTGAAATGTGCCCGAAGATCGAAGATATTAAAGATTGTCCGTGGATTAAAACTCAAAATCCTTGATATCCTCTTTAAAACTTTCAAATCCATCGATATCCCCTTTAATTCCTCCTATTTCCTCTTTTCCTCCTTTAAATCCACCGATTAGACTTGTAAAGAAATAAAAAGTAAAAATTGTGTCGATCAAAAAGTTGTAGGTCTTCAGGGTAAATAGGTCTTAAGGGTGTAAGTCTAGAAGGTGTAGATCGTCAGGGGTGGACTTCGAATAGGTCCCAAATGTTCCGAAAAATTGATTAAAAAATCAACCATCCTGATCCACCAAATTCAATCTAATTTTAATTTTAAATCTGCCTCACCCTTGTTTGTTTATTAGGCTCCAATCTAATCAAAGTCCCAATCTGAGCAGCTTGTGTGTGAATTATGCCAGCACAAACAAAATTATCAGGATTTGGGTCAATTCCTGGAAGAACACGAGCTCCCAAATTTGAAAGCTAAAAATGATTTCTTATCAAAAACACTTTTATAAAACCCACTTGTTGTGAAACATCCTCTGATTCCATTGAAGATTTTGCAGCAAAAATTTTTTGACATTCTTGAATTGGCCTAAAATATCGTTTAAAATTAATTTTTAATTTAATTTTTACAAATTTAGTTGTTTCCAACGATTAAAGAATTGTTCTGAATTCATATCTGTTGGCTCAAAAAATTTATTAATAAAAATTGGGATGTAGAGATTTTGAGAAAATTGTTGTTGAAGATTGTCTTTTGCCCTAAAAAATATTTTCTTAATAATAAAAGTACCCAAAAAAGACAAACGTGTAAGTAAACGAGATTTTAATTACTGGCGATTGCGAAAAGGAATTTAAACAAACAACATTGACTAATTGTTGGATTTGAGTGCCAGCATCAATTTCTGAGTCGATTTGCTTTGCCTATTGAAAAAATATTAAAAAATAAAAAATATATTAAAAAGAAACCTGACAAACTAATTGGCCAGCTAATTGGCCAGGACAAGTAATTGCTGTAATAAATTGTGTAAATTTTGCACTAGTTTTATTTCCATAAAACATTCCCAATCTAGCTAAATTTGAACGAGCTTCTAATTTACAACCAATTTGGACTATTTCATCTTCATAAAGTATTCCAGTTTGTCTCACTATAAACCTGAAAAAAATAGAATTAAGTGCCGTTGGAAAATTAAAAAGTTTTAAAGCAACGCAATAGCGAAGAAGCTTTCTTTAGCTCAAACGAAAATGATTGTCCCCGCTTCCTCTATAAATTTCTCACAAGTCAGGAGATTTAAAAAAATATATCAATTCCGTTAAATTTCCCCAAAATAAAATCTATACTTTAAATAATCGCTTTTGTTGAAAATCGGTTCATCGCTAGTAAATCCATTTGATGTATTCAAATTCCCAAAAATATCTGACAATTGATTGATTGCAGAAGATCCATTAGTTAATTGTTGAACATCACCACTAAGATCAAGAAGCTTGCTTGAATCAGATGCAGAAGGGGACGTTCCCTAGAAAACAGAATTTTATTTAAAAATATTTACAAATAATTATTACAGGTTTAGGTGCATTTGTGGTTGAAGACATTATTGCAGAAGGGCGGTGTTTCGGTTCTGTTTGGGAACTGTCCAAATCCTCTGCTTGTGGTTGCGACTTCTTCAATTTTGCAAGCAAACTGCTTTCCTTTTCTGGGAATAACGGCATCTCCTCAAGAATCTAAACAAAAAATAATTAGGATAACTGAAATTCAAAAACCGTTGCAAGAACATCAGGCGATGCAACTTTACTCAATTGCAAATATTCAACAGCTCTTTGTTGCAATTCAGCATCAGGATTTCTCAAATTAGTATCAGAACGTAAAATCTCTTGTATATGAGTTTTTATTTCAGGAAACAAGTTACAAAATTTAATATAAGTAGTCATTAATAAACATCTTGTAGCAATACTGCACAAATGAAAACGGCTATGTAAAGTTTCGAATTGAATCATTGGACTAGAAAATGAACAAAATTATTTTTTATATTAAAAATTGGCAGAAAACCTCGAACGAGGATCTCCCGCAATTAAATTGCCAAATTCCCCAAGAATATAACCGCCTACTTTAACCATATTTTCATGACAAGTAGCCTGTTGCAAAGCCTAAAAATAAACAAAATTAAATGAAATATGGAATTTTCTTTTATTTTTAACCCTAAAAAATGACCCACAAAAATATCTTTATTTTACCTCAAAAACTGTTTTAGCAGCATATCCTTGAACATCCTCTCGATTAACAACAATCTAACAATAAATTAATTTAAGAAAAAAAAACTTCAAAATAACCTGAATAACTCTACACCAAACTTCTTCAGAAACATAATCCCCAGCAATTCGTATCAATTTCAAAATTACGTCAACATACCAAGTATAATCTGTTGCATATTTCTCTGCAAGTATAGCCACTTTAAGTACCATTTCCTCTCTGATAGAGTAATCAGCCGTTTCCAAATAAGTAAGCATTTCAGCAACAATATTTTCAGCATTAGACCGATCACACATTGCATAAAGTAAATCCTAAATTTTAAGCAAAATTTAAACAGTAAATAAAAAAGATACTCACTACAGCCCGTTGTCGAACGCTAACATCCCTTTCACTCTTTAAAGAATTTATAATTGTCTCTTGATGTTTTTTGACGGCATCGTGTGAAAATTCAGAGGTAGCCAAAAGACACATAGACTCAAGTGCCAAATATCTTTAAAATAAAAATTTGAACATTTTAAAATTTTCAAACCTCAAATTAGTTTCACGATGAGAAAGGAAAGTTCCCAATTGATTACAAGCTCTAACTAAAAGATTTGGTTCGCTGTCGTGATGAATAATTAATGCTATCGCTTCAAACAAAACAGCATTCTTAGCATTCGCGTGTTGAACTTTCTTTGACTTTGGGGCATCCTGTGCTCTGTTAAGGATACCTTCGAGACATTCAAGAAGACGAGCACGATTGCCTGGATCTTCTAAAAATAAAAAATTTTTTGAATGAAAAATTAATTTAAAAACCTGGTGGAGGATAATTTTGAAGTAATCTGAGTAATTTAACACAAAGCCAAGGAGCAGGAACAAAATAGTAAGTATAGTCTTAAATTTTAAATATTTATATTAGTGAAATTTTTTAAAGTTCAAACCTTGTAGATCGGTATAAGTAGAAGTAACAATCTAAAAAATACCCAAAATTAGTAAATTATAATTCAACAACCCTGCTAAGTCTCGAAATTGCCAAAGAAACACAGCCTTTATATTCATCAGGACTTTTCTTTGAGAGAACCTCAATTAAGGAAGCCGCTGAAGTTACCACACCCTTTACATAAAAATTAATGTTAAAATATCTAAAATAAAGACTAACCAAATGTGAATCATTAAGTAGTTGCACAATTCGAACAGAATATTCACTATGTGGAATAATATCAATTGGAATTCTCAATAATTTTAAAAGACAAAGTGCAGCACTTTGTTTAACAAAATCAACAGTATCACTAAAAAAATATGGAAAAATAAAAAGATTTTCCTTCTAAAATTACCCAGAAGTTAAAAGTTTTGGCAAATCATGAGCAAAAGCTTCACACATATCTTTGGAACCAATATTGGCAATACATTGAAGGGCAAGATTAACATGTACTGGATTTCGCGATTGGAGATCATTTTTAATTGATTGGATTATTAACTTCATTAAATCAGAATTTAAGTTAATTAGAACAGAAATGAACAAATATCCCTTAATTTTTAAATATTTTTTTTAATTTTAAAAAATATTTACAATCTGTTTCTCCGTATATTTATTAGAAGAAAGCAAATTAACAGCCTCCATATGGCCAAAATCAATGTCATGACCAAGCAGAAAAATAAAAAGTAATTTGCAAACATATTTCTTTTTTTGATAGCCATCAAGTGTTTTGTCACCTTTGAAAAAATAAAATTTTTCCTTATTTTGATTTAAAATAAAACCTTTAAATTTAGAACGTATATTCGCCAACTCTTTATTTATCCGTCTCAATTCAGCCTCTTTACTTTTACAATTTCTTATATCGCTTATAAATACGGCTAGACCACGCATTCCATCACCTATAAAATTTTAAAAAACGGATGAATTGGAAATTTAAAAAATTCGTAAAATTAAAGTTTAGATAAAACATAAACCGAAATTGAGTTAAAAGTCAGATTTAGGTTTGAAAAACCTCCGACAATAAATCATTTACTTTGTCTTAAGTACAAAATTATAATAACAAAAATACCTTTTACTGCCGGCATTATGAGCAATCAACTATTGAATTATCCTAACATAAAACAAATTAGTAAAAGCTTATAAAAATGAAAAATATTTTTGTTTCCGAATAAACAGGAATAAAATTGAAAAAATAAATTTGATTGATTTGTAAATAAAAATAAAACAAAAATTTTAAAATTTAATTATCCAGCAAATTTTTCAAGCAAATATTGCTTCTTCCTTTCAACAATCATTTCCTCAATTTCAGCTTGTGACGGAACCATAACATGTTTAATAACCATTTCACGTCCATCTTCTCCCATAACGACAGATTCTTTTATTGGTACAGGTTCTTCATCATCAGAATCCTTAAAAAAATTTTTAAAAACATTTAAATTTTAAAATCTCAAACCGCTTGAACTTTGTAAATGTCTTCATCAAAATCTTTTTCTCTGTTCATTTCAGGTCCTCTTTTTGCCCATTCCTAAATAAATTTTAAATAATGATTTTTAAATAATTTTATAGAAATTGTTTTCATTTAATTTTCTGCCAATAATTATTTAATTTTTATTCAGATTCCCTTAAAATGATTTTTAATCTCCTGACCTTTCAGTTCCTCTTTCCCAACTACTTAATTCCTTTGCCCTGAGCGTCTTCCTCTACATCAAAATCAAATATAAATAACAGAAATGTAGAAATACTTTTCATTCATCTTCTTATTTGAAAAAAAATTCTCTTAATAAATGGAAGAACTACAAAATTTTAATTTTACTCACTTATATGAAAAACTAAAAATGAGTGACAACGATTTCGATGCATGGCTAGAAGAACTGGGACTTCTTCACGCAAAGAAAACATGTAAACAGTGCGGGGGTAGAACAACACTTAAAGTCGAAAATCGTCATTGTAGATATACAGCTTGGCGCTGCACAACTAAAAATTGTCGAGTATCTTCGGGTTATTTGTGTGGGACATTCTTCGAGCGGAGACATTTAACAACAAAACAAGTATTTGAACTAGCTTATTATTGGGCTCAACAGTTTGGGACAATTAAAGAAATTGGATTTCAAACTAAAATTAGTCAGTCTGCAATAATTGGAATGTTTGACAAATTTCGGGATGTTTGTGTAAAATATTTAGAAGAAAATCCAATTAAAATTGAAGAAGGTTAAATAATTTAAATAGAAAAAATATAAACTAATCAAAATATTTAGGTATTATTGATAGAAAACCAGACAACAGACGAAGGGATAATTACAAATATCAACAAGAACTTATTTGGCGGACTCAATTTGGTGATATTCGTAATGTTTTCTATTATTTGTGGAAACAAATTTCAATATTTTATCCTTGTGAACGAAACGAATAAATTTAAAAATTTTTTTTTGATGGGTAAAAGAGAAGACGCTAAAGCGAAAATACTGACATCTGTGGATTTTTTGTTAAATTATTTTTATTTTTTTTAAATTAAAAAAATTTTAAATAAAATTACCGCATTTATCCTCGCAATTGACAATTTTTCTTCAGCTTTTTCCAGTGGAATTAACAATCCATCGTCATCATCCATATATCCATAATAATCTGCATCAACATTTCGCATAAGTTCTGTTCTAGTTTTCTTCGAAGTAGTTTCTGTAGCTTTCTGAAAAAGTTCACGGACGCCAGGGAGATCCTTTGCAGCTCCAAAATATTTATATCCCTTGTTGCTGGCGACTTCCCTTCCATCACGATCAACTTCTCTTGGTGCTATTCTCCTATAAAATAGTTTTTGGGACTTCTTTTAGATTTTGTCACTTTTTATAAGTTTCCCTCCATTCCCCAAATACTTTTGCTTTTTTAGCTAAATTAATTCCTATGGCCATTTGTTTGCCTTATTAAAAAAATAAGAAGTGGAGGATATCCCAATTTGATTTAAATAAAATTTGCAAACCTGTGATCAACACCGCCCAATTCTTTTATTCGAGCCTCCCAAAGACCTTTGAGCCTAAGCAATTTATTAATCTCGTCGTTTAGATCACGTATCTTAAATTCACCAAGACCAGGATTCTATAAAATTTAATTCTGATAGATTATTAAAATTAAATAAAAACCTGTATTTGAGTAATTTTCTTCGAAATATCATTAATAATCTCTCGTCTGAAACGCTCTGCATCAGGCAATTTCTTACATTCCCGCACATCATTCGGTCTTTTAGCGACAGGCCCCTTTTCTTCTTGTTCTTTCATACGCCGCCATCTGGCCAAAGCTGTCATTGCCTTTTCCGCATTACGAGCCTTTATTTATTAAAATTAAGTACCTAACCGTTCAAAACCAAACAAACCATATTATTTGATCCTGTTCAAGTTGACAAAAAAACAAAGATTTGGTCAAATTATTTGGAATGTAAATCAGCAGTTGGGGTCGGTTGAGTATCGCCAGTGACTCCCGTGAGTTGAGTATAAGCCAGTTAATTCAAATCAATTTAGATCCAGAAACTGTTTGTTCTCTTAAATTATTTAAGTGTGAATATTTATTACGCTACAGACTTAGGAAATTGAGACTGCGCTCAAGCTTATTAAGAATAACTTTGTTAAGTAACTAAAAGATGAAGCTAGGACATTCCATATAAAAATAAAAGACAGAACTTTAAACTGAACTTCCAAATGTAATGTAGAAAAAATTAATACAAGAAATTCGCGAATTTTTATTCTAAATATTCAATGTCTTACAATGCTTATTGTTAACATATAAATTTTTTCGTCACAGAGGATACAATTTATTATAGGGGGATTAAAATATTTCTTTATTATAAAATTAATATTATAGAATTATATATTCCCTAACATTTTTTCATTAGTTCATACCCATAAACTGATCAATAGAAACCTCTCTAATAATTTCTTATTTATATATTCGCTTTCAATTGCTTCATCCGATTGAGCGCGGAACCTGCCTTAAACCACTCTATCTGACCCTCATTAAGAGTATGTTGAAGTTCAATAACATCTTTGCTTCCATCTTTGTGTTTAAGCACACACTTGACTTTTTTGCCTGGAGCAAGAGTGTTGAGCTCAATAAGAGAAACTCGGTCGTCCGGACGAACTTTGTCATAATCGGCTGGATTCACAAAAGTTAGTGGCAAAAGCCCTTGCTTCTTTAAATTCGTCTCTGAAAAATAAAAAGATTTTTAAATATTCACTCTTAAATTCATACCATGAATTCGAGCAAAGCTTTTTACAATAATTGCCCTTCCACCGAGATGACGAGGTTCGAGTGCGGCATGTTCACGAGAAGAGCCCTCTCCGTAGTTGTCATCACCGAAGGCAACCCATGCCTGGCCTTTTGCTTTGTAGTCTCTTGCAGTTTGACAAACTGGTCCCCATTCGCCAGTTAATTGGTTGCGAACCTTAAATTTTTCGAAATATTTCATGAATATAATTCCCATTATTTCTAAAATAATACCTTGTTCAATTCATCATTCTCCGCATTCTTTGCCGTGAGGAACAAGTTGTTTGAAATATTATCTAAATGTCCACGATATTTTAGCCATGGTCCAGCAGCGCTTATATGATCGGTTGTACACTTTCCCTTGACCTTTAGAAAATTAAATATACAGAAAATTTTTTTAATAAAATCAACCTTAATCAAAATAACCATATCAGTCAGATCTTTTCCATCCCACGCGTCAAATGGACTCAATAACTGAAGTCGATTGCTTTTTGGATCAACCACTACATCGCCAGAAAATTTTGGTTGTTGATACAAGTCGGTGCCCGGATCAAATCCTTTCTCTGGAAGACATTCTCCTTTAGGTTCTTCAAGCTTAAATTTGGTTCCTAAAATATTAAAAGCATTAAGATTTAAAAAATAAATAAAAACCGTCTGGCGCTGTCAAATAGTCACGACGCGGGTCAAAGTCTAAAGTTCCCGCCAAAGTCAAAGCAAGCGTCATTTCTGGCGAGGTTACGAAAGCATGAGTTGCAGGATTTGCATCGTTGCGTCCAGTGAAGTTTCGGTTATAAGAACTAACAATTGTGTTCTTCTCTCCCATCTTAACATCCTTTCTATCCCACTGTCCAATACAAGGTCCACAAGCATTTGCAAGAACAATACCGCCAATGTTTTCAAAATCTTTGATAAAACCGTCACGCTCAATTGTAGCACGAACTTGCTCACTTCCAGGAGTTACAGTAAAAATTGGTTTTAGCTTCATCCCTTTCTTATATGCCTGAATTTTAAAAAATCAATAAAAATCAAGAAGCATCCCATACTTGTCTTGCAATGTTAGCAGACCTAGCCATATCTTCATATGAACTGTTTGTGCAAGAACCAATCAGTCCAACCTTGATGTCCAAAGGCCATTCATTCTCTTTTGCGTGTTGACCAAGTTTATCTATTGGATGGGCCAAATCAGGTGTAAAAGGCCCGTTGACATGAGGGACCAATTCATCCAAATTTATTTCAATTACCTGAAAATAAATTATACGAGTGACAAAGTCGATTTTAAAAGCTTACCTTGTCATACTCGCAACCTGGATCGGGTTTAAGCAAATTAGCGTATTTTTTCGCTTCATTGGCAATATTGCCACGACCAGTAGCCACAAGATAGTCTACCATAGATTGAGTAAATGGAAAGATTGATGTAGTTGCGCCAATCTCTGCTCCCATGTTCGTTATGGTTCCCATTCCGGTACATGCTAGGGATTCTGTTCCAGGGCCAAAATATTCAATAATAGCTCCAGTTCCTCCCTTCACGGTGAGAATATCGGCTACCTAAAAGTCATAAGAATATGACTTAAAGGATCGAACAATAAAACAAACTTTCAAAATAATATCCTTGCTTGCTGTCCATCCTGAAAGCTTCCCAGTTAGCTTCACTCCAATCACATTTGGACACTTCAATTCCCATGGAAGACCTGCCATTACATCAACAGCATCAGCACCACCAACTCCAATACAGACACCACCAAGGCCACCTGAAATTATGAGAATATCTTATTTATCAATAGCTATAAAACCTCCATTCGGAGTATGAGAATCTGTTCCAATGAGCAATAACCCAGGAAAAGCATAATGTTCAAGCACAACTTGATGAATGATTCCAGCACCAGGTTGCCAAAATCCAACACCATATTTATTAGAAGCACTGGCCAAGAAATCAAAGACTTCTTTGTTGATTTCCTATAAGAACTACGGATCAAAATTTTAAATATTAAATCCATACCTTTGCTCTATAAAGATCTTTTACGCTTCCGACTTGAGCTTGAATTAAATGGTCACAATGTACGGTCGACGGAACCTAAAATTTGTATTTAGACAGGCATCATAAATATAAAATAATAAACCTGTACTGTAGGGATCCCAGAAGAAATAAATTGAAGCAAAGCCATCTGGGCTGTCGCATCCTGCATAGCAACACGGTCAGGTCTTAGGTTCAGATAGCTTACACCACGTTCAATCTTCTGTCCTTTAGGGTCATCAAGATGAGAATAAACAATCTTCTCAGCAAGCGTAAGAGGTCGATTAAGTCTTTATTTAAAAGAAGATTTAAAAATAATTTAAAATTAAATTAACCTTTTCTTCACAATTTCCAAATTAGTAGCAAGTTTTTCATAAGGAAGTCGGGTCTTTGGTTCATGCTGGCTCATAGGAACTGAAGACAATCTTCCCATTGTTGTGTGCAAACAACGTCGCAAATGAACATAGTTGTTGATTTGAGGGAATAATCCCATTATAACGCTTAAAAGAAAATTTAGAAGCTTAAATTTATTATTAAAAAATTAATAAAAAAAACTCATGTTCTATTACAAAGTGATCGAATTAATAGAAAAAACACAGCTGATAAATATTATACTTTGATCGTTTTTCAGTGAGGAATGAAACCTCCCAGACTGATATGCCCCTTTTCATTTTGATTACGGCCCATTATGGCGCGGGTCACTATGGCACAAGGCGCTCATGGCGCAAAGACATTAATTTTTACTTGAGCCATAGTGGCCTGCGCCGTAGTATCTGTGACCCTTGTTTACTTTTTATTTTTGTTTACAACAAAAAGGAGTATTTCAGTCGGTACACGACGAATGGGCGCGGCCGAATGGGCGCGGACGAATGGGCGCGGCCGAATGGGCGCCGAGACGAATGGGCGCGAGACGAATGGGCGCGGGACGTTTGGGCGCCCGAAATTATTTTTTCCTAGAAATTTTTTTCTGATTTTTTCTTCTGATTTTTTTGTTCTGATTTTTTTTTCTGATTTTTTTGTTCTGATTTTTTCTTCTGATTTTCTGTTCTGATTTTTTCTTCTGATTTTTTCTTCTGATTTTTTTCTTCTGATTTTTCTGTTCTGATTTTTTTGTTCTGATTTTTTGTTCTGATTTTTTTGTTCTGATTTTTTCTTCTGATTTTCTGTTCTGATTTTTTCTTCTGATTTTTCTTCTGATTTTTTTCTTCTGATTTTTCTGTTCTGATTTTTTTGTTCTGATTTTTTTGTTCTGATTTTTTGTTCTGATTTTTTCTTCTGATTTTTTTCTTCTGATTTTTTTGTTCTGATTTTTTCTTCTGATTTTCTGTTCTGATTTTTTCTTCTGATTTTTCTGTTCTGATTTTTTCTTCTGATTTTTTTCTTCTGATTTTTCTTCTGATTTTTTCTTCTGATTTTTCTGTTCTGATTTTTTTGTTCTGATTTTTTGTTCTGATTTTTTTGTTCTGATTTTTTCTTCTGATTTTCTGTTCTGATTTTTTCTTCTGATTTTTCTTCTGATTTTTTTCTTCTGATTTTTCTGTTCTGATTTTTTTGTTCTGATTTTTTTGTTCTGATTTTTTGTTCTGATTTTTTCTTCTGATTTTTTTCTTCTGATTTTTTTGTTCTGATTTTTTCTTCTGATTTTTTTCTTCTGATTTTTTTGTTCTGATTTTTTCTTCTGATTTTCTGTTCTGATTTTTTCTTCTGATTTTTCTGTTCTGATTTTTTCTTCTGATTTTTTTCTTCTGATTTTTCTTCTGATTTTTTCTTCTGATTTTTCTGTTCTGATTTTTTCTTCTGATTTTTTTCTTCTGATTTTTCTTCTGATTTTTTTCTTCTGATTTTTCTGTTCTGATTTTTTCTTCTGATTTTTCTGTTCTGATTTTTTTCTTCTGATTTTTCTGTTCTTTTCTTCTGATTTTTGTTTTTTTTGGATATAGTATAGTACAGGGGTGTGCCGAAACAGATTTTAAAAAGCGAAAGACGAAAGGCGAAAAGGCGAAAGTCGATTTAAAAAGCGAAACACGAAAGACGAAAAGGCGAAAGTCATTCTAAAAAGCGAAAGACGAAAGGCGAAAGACGAAACACCAAAAAAGACGAAAATATGGCGAAAGACGAAAGACGAAAAGGCGAAATAACTGTAATGAGGAAAAATCTCTATATATCGGTTAAACCAAAGCCTTGGTTAATTACCTACTTTCAAATCTTCTGTTTAATTCTCCTAATCTTGTGATATCCTTATTAACCGCTAAATTATGTATATCAGAGGATTCAGAGTGATTTAGGATTTAGGAGGATATCAGAGGATGTGTAAGGCAAATTCAAATTTTTATTTTTTCCTATCATTGGAAATCGACCATCGTTAATTGTAAATATAGTCTTTTATTTTGGGAAATCCCAGGATATCCAAATCCGTTGTCCGAACAAAAATTTTGATATCCGAATCCGTAACCAAAATTTTTAATAAAATACTGAGGCTTACCCAGGTAGAGAATCCCCTTTATCAGCGCCGCAGGCGAAAATTTTGAGAATTTTGGAGGTCCTTAAGTCAGATTTCTTCCCTTTTTGCGCCGCAATAAATACCACTATGCTGGAAAATAACCTGTATTAACTTTTTAAGCGCCGCAGGCAAAGATTTTGAAAATATAAGGTGTCTAAGGCACGGAAAATTCACTTTTTAAATTAAAAAAATAATTTTTTCATAGAAAAATTATAATTATTCTATTCATAATATATAAATAAAAATCTTGTCCCTAAATTTGGTCCGAACCTAACAATAATAAAATGGTCGCTAGTCGGAGTCAAACAACTTACCACTCAACCATCAATTACTTTATTAAGTTAAAAGAAAATTATATATTTATCCCCACTCGTCCTTAGTTTTTCTCTTTCTTTTCTTCTCCCAATTACCAACTTTTCCTCACATACCATCATTAGGGGTGTATAATATTTTCGCCTTTCGCCCAAAAAAGCGAAAGACGAAAGGCGAAAGTCATTTTAAAAAGCGAAAGACGAAAGGCGAAAGACGAAACACCAAAAAAGACGAAAATAAGGCGAAAGACGAAAGGCGAAAGACGAAACGGCACACCCCTGGTATAGTATACCGGTGGAAATGTTTCGACACAAAACCAATACCTTTCGATTCGTCTTGGCGAGTTGAGTCGAACCGTACTACTCTTTTTTTCCGGAGATGCCTGTGGATCGAGATATAGGTCCCCGAAAATCGAAAATCCATATGGGGGAGTAGGTTTGTGTGCTTCTTGCGTTTTACGTGTTTCACAATGCCTCCTGCGCTCACCCCTGCTCAGAAATGACGGAAAATGGAATAAATTGAAAGAAAATCAGAACAAAAAAATCAGAACAGAAAAATCAGAAGAAAAAAATCAGAAGAAAAATCAGAAGAAAAAATCAGAACAGAAAAATCAGAGGAAAAAATCAGAACAGAAAAATCAGAAGAAAAATCAGAACAAAAAAATCAGAAAAAAAAATCAGAACAAAAAAATCAGAAGAAAAAATCAGAAAAAAATTTCTAGGAAAAAATAATTTCGGGCGCCCAAACGTCCCGCGCCCATTCGTCTCGCGCCCATTCGTCTCGGCGCCCATTCGGCCGCGCCCATTCGTCCGCGCCCATTCGGCCGCGCCCATTCGTCCTGCTCCGATTTCAGTATCAAGCTGTTTGTATAAAAGCTTTTTTAAACGGATGTTCCTCTCGTTTACTTTTTTGTATTTAAGTTACCATAGTAACAAAGATAACTATTTGGCAGAAGACACCCAGAAAAGTATTCCTGGATATTATGATGCGTAAGAACGCTCATTTTTCCTGATTTCTTTTTATCACTTTTTTAAAACTTTTTTATTTTCTAGATTATAAATAAATATGTCTCAGTTTATCAAAAAGAATAAAGGCCCTCTTATAGTCTGTGGAATTGTTGGTGGTGGTATTGGTTTATGGGTGTGGAAGACTGTATATCCATCAGTTAGTTTTCTTTTATTTTTAAATTTTATTAATTTCCAAATTAGATGCGTGAATGTGTGTATTCAACTTTCGGCGTCAATGAGGCGGATGGATACACTGTGAAGCGAATTGAAGAGGCCTATCGTAAGCTTCAAGAAAGTGAAGAATGCCATTCGCTTTTGAAGAAGCATTTTACTGAAAGTGTGAAGGATAAGCTGAAGTATAAGAAGACCAAGTTGGGAGGGACTTTGTATGATATCATCCGCTCTGGTTAGTTTTTTAAAAAAATTTTTCTCATAAGTGAGAGCAAAGTCTCTATACAGAAAATTCATTTTGGTAATTTAGGTGTTGCCAATCTTGACTCAGGTGTTGGTGTTTATGCACCCGATGCTGAGTCCTATACAAAATTTGCTGCTCTGTTCGATCCAATTATTGATGAGTATCATGGTGGTTTTGGTCCAAATGCGAAGCATCCCGCGACATATTTTGGCGAAGACAAAATTTCGGAATTGAAAGATTTGGATCCAGAAGGGAAATATATTCTTTCTACGAGGTAATTTTTGTCAATTTTATAAAATTATTTTTCAATTTTAGAATTCGTTGTGGACGCTCTTTCAAAGGGTTAGAATTTATTATCCAATCAAGAAGTTTTAATTAAATTAATTTTTAGGTATCCATTCAATCCTCTTTTGTCTCGTGATGATTATATTACGATGGAGGCAAAAGTCAAAAATGTTTTTGATGGATTAAAGGGGGATTCGGAACTTGGTGGAACTTACTATCCGCTTGATGGTTAATTTTTATAATTATTGCCCCTTTATCCTTGAAAATTAAATTTATTTTAAGGCATGTCAAAGGATACCCAAAAGCAATTAATTGCAGATCACTTTTTGTTTAAGGAAGGTGATCGTTTCCTGAAAGAAGCTAATGCAAGTATGAAAAAGTTTAAATTAATTTATATCTGATTTTATTTTCTAGATCATTTTTGGCCTGCAGGACGAGGAATTTTCCACAACGCCAAAAAGGCAACGTTTTATACGTATCTTTTATTAAAAATTTTTTTTTAGACTTTCCTTGTTTGGGTTAACGAAGAAGACCATCTTCGCATAATTTCGATGCAAAATGGTGGAAATGTTGGTCAGGTGCTTGAGAGATTGATTAAGGGAGTTAAGGCAATCGAGGCCAAGGTGCCTTTTTCTCGTGATGATCGTCTGGGATATTTGACTTTCTGTCCTTCCAATTTGGTATTTTTTGTTTAAAGTTTGTTTTAAAATTAATTTTATAGGGAACAACTGTGCGTGCATCTGTACACATTAAATTGCCAAAGATCAGCTCAAAGCCTGAATTCAAAAAGTTTGTTTAATTTTAGATATTGAAAAATAATCGTTTTATTTTTCAGAATTTGCGAAGATATGAAACTGCAAATTCGTGGAATTCATGGGGAGCATTCTGAAACGGAGGGTGGTGTCTATGATGTTTCGAATAAGGCACGTCTTGGACTTACAGAATATGAAGGTTAATTAAAATTATTTTAGAAAAATTTTTAAAATTTTTATTTTTTAGCTGTTAAGCAAATGTATGATGGCGTTAAGAAATTAATTGAGCTTGAAAAGGCAGCTAGTTGAATTATTCAAAATGATAATAAATAAATAAAAATTAGGTGTCATATTTTCCTATACTTTTAATAGTTAAATATATAAATGCTTATATAGGTTTAATTTTCCCTGTGCTTTTATTTGGTTAAATTTCTTTTTTTTGTTCTTGCCTATTTTTGATTAAATTGAAGTAAATCAATGTTAAATATTTTTTGACTTTTTTCTTTACCTATAAGTGGAATCTTTCTAAATTTGAATTATTAAGAGGGATGAGTCTGGAAAAAATCTGTTGATGAATTTTTAGATCCGTTTTAACTTTTGGATTTTATATTTTTGACTTTTACGAAAAAAGGGAAGGAAGGGGTTTTCGGGCTTGTATTGTTGAATTTTCTTGAATTCTTGTAGTAAAAATTTTGTTTCTACTATCAGCATTCTAATATCTTTCTATAATTTTATATACTCCATGGAATCACCAAAATTTGAATTAACAAAAATATTGGAATGGGTGCAACTAAATGATTATAAACGTATAGCCTTACAATTTCCTCAAGATTTACTTTCAATTGCACCGGAAATTCTTTTGGAATTGGAGAAATGTGCAAATGACAAACAATTTTTTATTTTGGCAGATACTTCTTACAGAAGGTTTTAAATTTTTTAAAATAATCATCCAGGGTATGTTGCGGTATGACTGAAGTTTGACAAAAATTAAATACCCACATAGAGCCTTTTATAAAACTAAAAAATTTGGAATAATCTCTTGTTGAAATACTTTTTAATTAAATTATTTTCAATTTTCAGCTGCTGTTTGGATTTGATTGCTGCTGAGCATGCAAATTGTGATTCTATTGTTCACTTCGGAGGGGCATGTATGACAGATTTAAATGGCAAAATACCTTCCCTTTATATTTTTGAAAATACAAACATCGATTTTGTCAACTTTAGAGAAAATATTTCAAAATTTATTGATACAAAGGATGAAAAGGAATTTGATCAAATACTTATTTTGTGTGATTCTGACTATTCGGATTTGGAAAGTATGGTTTTAGAGTATGTTTTTAATGTTTGTGTAGGAAGAAAGGGGAGATAGTTTCGTAATTTTTATGTCGAAATTGGGAGAGATATTTTTTTATAATTTTAGGGAAAGAATTTTCCTTTTTTAGTCTATGGATCAGGGCTGCACGCAATTGCGGATTGCGTAAATTGCGGGGGTATTTGCAATTGCGAGTTGCGTATTTTAATGATTTTCACGCAATTTTTGAAATTTTCCTCACAATAACTGAAGAAAATCTGGTTTCTTGACACCCAAATTTCACAAAATTTTCGCCTGCGGCGCTGAAAAAGGAAGAAATCTGGCTTTTTTCTTCCCAAATTCTGAAAATTTTCGCCTGCGACGATGTAAAAGCGAAGTTGAATGATATATTGGAGGATTTTTTGTTGCGGAATTTTTTTCAATTGCGCGCAGCTCTGCTATGGATATGTCGGAAATAAGTGCGGGATCTTGGGGCTTATAATCGAGAATCCTCTCTTGTTGTCCTCTTTCATAATTTTTAGAAACCAAAAAAAAACAAAATTGAATATCTAAAAACCTTTAAAAAAATTTTTTTCAGATGAGATCTATCAAAATGTAAAATCTGTGTTTTCAATGGAAAACATTCATTTATGCGGACTTTTAAAGGATTCTTCTAAACTTGAAGAAAATTGTAGAATTATTTTAAAACGTGAAATTCCTTCAAATTTTAACGAAAATAAAAATAATTTATTAATATTTTTTGGAGAAAAAGAAAGTCCACTTTTGCCGCTTTTTGTGTTAACATTAAAAGGAATAAATAAAATATTGCATTATGAACCAAAAGAAAAAAGTTTTTATTTGGAAAGGTAAAGAATTTAAATTTTTAAAAATTTTTTAAAAATTAAATTTTAGTTCAAAAACAAACAAATTATTAATGAAAAGAATGTATTTGGCTGAAAAAGTTAAAGATGCAAATACAATTGGATTAGTACTTGGTTATGTATCAATGGAATGCAGAAAAGAAGCGATTAGTAGAGTTAGAAAATTATGCAAACAAAGAGGCAAAAAACTTTATGTTTTTTATATTGGAAAGGTTTTTCTTTTTTAAATCAATTTTTTTAATTTAAATTATTTTAAAATAAATTCTTTAAATATGTGTTTAAATTAGAATAAAAATAACCCCAAAATAAACAACAATAACTTATAAGAGAATAACTTTCATTTAGTATATTCTTTTATTTGGGGATTCGATTTTTAGGCAATTTTCATTGTCTTATACACGAAAACTAAAGAATTTAAAAATATTTTCAAAAAAAAATTTAAAAATAATTTTTAGTTAAACGAAGCTAAATTAACAAATTTTGGTGCAGAAATTGATGTTTTTGTAATGCTAAGTTGCCCTTATGGAATTTTATTGGATGGAAATAAATTTTTTAAACCAATAGTAAGTTTAATGGAAGTTGAAATGTCACTTAACCAAAATACTCCTTATGAAAATATAAAATGGACAGGGGAAGCTTCAAATATTCTTGAAAGTAAAAAAAAATAAAAATTTTTTGAAAAATTTTCAAAAAATTTTTTTAAGATAAAATTCAAGCTTTTACTGAAGAAAATGATGTTGATATGAGTCTTACATCTGGCAGTGTGCGGTCCTGTGGGTGTGATTCAACTAATGGGGAAGATGAAAATATGCAAATTCTAGAATATTCTGCAGGTTAAGATTTATTTCTTTTTAATTTGGTAGGGCTACTATTTTTGAGATTTTTTTATTTGTCTCATTTATGGAGATACGTATCGGAAATTATATGTCTGTTTTTCGGACTTAAAATGAATTCTAAAAATGAAAGGAAAATTTGTGAGAAAATAAAAAGTATGGAATTTTTCAAGAACCAATTTTAAACAAAAAATTTAGAACTAAAAATTAAACATTCCATACTTGTTTATAAATTTATTTTAAAGGTGATTATTTCAAAAAGAGAACATGGAAGGGATTGGACGATAAAGAATGTTTAAAGGACGATAAAAAGAATTTTAGTGAATTAAAAGAAGGTTTTAGTGGAATTGCTTCCAAATATGAAAAGGAGATAATAAATTAATAATTTTTTATTTAATTTTTAAATATACCTAAAGCAAGATAAATATTTTTTAAATATCAGAGAACCTCAAAATAATTGTTAAAAATTTTCCAAGTTTAATTTTTAAATCTGAAAGATTCATTTAATCCAGGGCTCGCATCGACAAAATGCCACTCAAAAGTATCAAAATCTTGATTAAAAAGTACAGTGCGGTGCATATGTTTAGACTCAAGCACCTATCTTTAATTAAAATTTTAATAAAATTTTTATACTTTATATTTTTTAAAATTTTTTTTCTTTTTTATATAACATTTTTAATGTATTCTTATTAAAAAAATTCATTCTGGGAAAATAATTTAAATTTTTTTAGTTTTTTTGTCTTAAGTGAACTGAGGTCAAATTCTGCTGGTGCAAATGTTTAGACTCAGACTTATAATCGAAAATATCTCGTAGCATAATGTCCCAAAAATTCTACAAAAATTCCAGTGGACATTTCAATTGATATAGAATAGAAGGACAAAAGAACGAAGTCCGTAACTTCATTCAATATCGAGATCTCAGATCTCAAAAATCAACGGGAAATCGGGGTACAGTACTTAAAAAAATATTTTAACCCCCAAGAGCTTTTATAAAAATTTTTCTTTTGGGCTCATTCGAAAGCCCATGAAATTTGCTACAAAATAGTCCAAGTTTTTATTTTTCGAATAAAGACTCATGGAGATGAAGGTAGAGAAATTTCTTAAGTTATCATTTTTGGGGTATTTTAGGCGTTTTTTAACCATTTTTCTGTGAAAGTGAATGTATGTCGAACGACTATTTTTTGGAATAAATGAGACCCGTACTATTTTGTAGCAAATTTCATGGGCTTTCGAATGAGCCCAAAAGAAAAATTTTTATAAAAGCTCTTGGGGGTTAAAATATTTTTTTAAGTACTGTACCCCGATTTCCCGTTGATTTTTGAGATCTGAGATCTCGATATTGAATGAAGTTACGGACTTCGTTCTTTTGTCCTTCTATTCTATATCAATTGAAATGTCCACTGGAATTTTTGTAGAATTTTTGGGACATTATGCTACGAGATATTTTCGATTATAAGTCTGAGTCTAAACATTTGCACCAGCAGAATTTGACCTCAGTTCACTTAAGACAAAAAAACTAAAAAAATTTAAATTATTTTCCCAGAATGAATTTTTTTAATAAGAATACATTAAAAATGTTATATAAAAAAGAAAAAAAATTTTAAAAAATATAAAGTATAAAAATTTTATTAAAATTTTAATTAAAGATAGGTGCTTGAGTCTAAACATATGCACCGCACTGTATATAGGGAGAAAATTTGCGAAAAAAAAGTAGTCTCAAAATTAAATTAGAAAATATTTATCCGCAGGCGAAATTTTATCCGCAGGCGAAAAATTTTGAGAATTTTGGGGGTCCTTAAGCCAGATTTCTTCCATTTCTTGCGCCGCAGGCGAAAATTTTTTGAAAATTGGACTTAAATCATCTGAAAAAATATTCGAATATTGGGAATTTTGAGTTTGACATTCCCAGGATTTTTGGCTCTCCAAATCTCACTTATTGATCAATCAATTCACAAGTCGCATACAAAGGGAAAAGTATGAGCGAGAAAAGGGGGAACACCAAGTAATTTTGAGTTTGAAAGTTTGATATGTGACCTATTGATAAATCAATTCACAATTAAGGGAAAAGTATGAGCGAGAAAAGAGGGAAAACCAAGCTCAAAATTTCCGAAAATTGATTAAAATTAACGAAAATCAAATTCAATTAAACATTTAAAAACAGAGCAAAAATCCAAAGTGATGAATTTGTCAAAAGAACAAATATCGGAAAGAAAAAATGTTAAGATAAAAAATTTTTTATTTTTGAAAAAATTTTTTGAAATTTTTTTGAAAGATTCATTTAAATAAAAATGTCAAATAGACTATCTAAAAACAATCATAATACCGAAATAATTATTTATTCTTCATTTTCCGGGTCAGATGCTTCATAAAGAAAATTGAACCATTCTCCAAAAATGACGTCAGAATGCTTTTTCATCTCAAATTTGACTCCATTAAAAATTATTGCATGTTCAGGTCCTGGTTGTGTTGGAAGATAGGGAGCAAGTCCATTCCAAACACGTTTCTCGTCAATTTTCACAAAAAGCTCAACAAACTTCTCTGCGCCCTCAATATACTCATCAATATCATAATATGTCGCTTCTCCTTTGTTTTCGCGAGCCCTAAAGTTTAAAATTAATTGTTATAAAAATGATTTTATCTCTGTTATGGAATAAATTGAAAAGGATTTTTCAATTAAAAGTTATATTATAGGTTAAAATTTCGGTTAAGATATTTGGTAGGGATATATTTCGATCCCAAAAAATAATTCTATAACAGAAAAAGGAATTTAATGTTAGTAAACAAAAATTACTCTTCCATCATGGAAGTTATAGAACCAAGTATAACTGCATCTGGACCAGAACCAATAAAATCAATTGCAAATAAGCTCAATTCATGAAATGTATCATATGACTGTATATTAATTTTGAGATTTTTGTAAAGAAGCTTGACAACCATGGCGTAAGCCTTCCAGCACTTAAAAATAAAAAAAAATACAAAAAATATCAATTTAAAAATACATTCTTGGATGAACGAACATAATCCCCATCACGTTGATATTTCTCAGCCTTTTTAATAAATTGATTTGGATGACTATACACTTTCTGTAAAAAGGTTAAAAATACAAAATAAGTTGAAAAAAGGATAAACAACGGTTTAGGACAGAGATGGGCGAAAATTTTTCGTTTCATGTCTCGTAGATTTTCGGGTACTACTGAAAAGGTGGCCTCATTTTCCAAATGACCAGTAATCCTCACTATTACCAAAACATACCGAAACATTCGAAGAGCCTCTCGCAGCAACGGTCGAAACAGTCAAATCTCCACCAGTATGAACTCCACGTCCGGATACGAGCGGAAAAGATAATTGCATACCACCAAATCGAAGATGTCCAGAAAAAGTGCCTCCATGGTGGTAAACACGAGAATCCTAAATTTGTCCGTTTAAGAATATAATTTAAAAAATAAAAACCAAAACATTTGTTGGGCCTCCGCCAGAAAAGGTCGAAACATTAGAACCTCTAACACGGCCATCTACAAAAGGTGTCAACCCACGTTGTCCTAAGAACCCCCGAACACCTCCTCCTCCAGTAAGTAAAGTGTTTTTAAAAAACAAGCCTAGAGATTGCTGCATTTGAAAATATTTTTTAAAGTCAATTTCTAAATAAAAGCAGTGAAAAATTAAATTATAAACAAATAAAATTATTGAAATTGCATAAAAAATATTTAAGCAAGTCTTGACAAATTTTGACAAAAAATTTTGGGACAAGTAGGCGCGCGGCCAAATAGGCGCAAAGCCATAACTGGCTCGAGATTTTCTGAACCTTAACAATTTTAGTACCAATCTCTTTAGCTCGATGAGCGGAATCGGTTAGTACTAAATTTTGAAAGATTATGAACTCTTAAAACAAGATGATTTTGCACCTACTTGAGCGGCTAATATTCTAAGACTATGAAAAAGAAAATAGATTGGAAATCTTTATTTAATTTTTAAAAATACCTAAAGCAAAAATAAATATTTTTTAAATATCAGAAAACCTCAAAATAATATTTGTGTGGAAATCCACTCAATTTTATTTTTTTATTTAACTCATTTCCATTCAATCTCCCAATTGCTTATAAAGTATAGGAACATAGTCGTCATATTCTGCCTAAAATTAATTTGAAAATTATTTTTTAAATAACAAAATTACCTGATAAAAGTTGCCGGCAATTGGATTCTAAGACCATGTTTCTTAATGAAATCATTATTTTGAAACGCCCTCGCTTGTCACCTTTGAAAGGAAAAAATAAATAAAAAAGGTCGAAAATGCAATGATTCTATTTCGGTTTTATCACTATTCCCAATAAATTCCTTTGCCTTTACAGAAACTAAAGTCTCTGAAAACTCTGTTTAAAGACTCAAAATAATTTTAAAAAATCGTAAAATGTTTACTAAATTTTGTCCATTTTAATTCCCAATGGCTAGAAATTTCTAAATCTGTACAAATGAGCTTTGGAAAAATACGGACATGGACTTCTAGAGGACAACCCAAATTGAAAATTACAAAAAAACTGAAAAATTAAACCTCAGCTAGCATAAAGCGAACTTATGTTTATTACGCAAATCCTTAGACAGCGGTGCAGACATTATTTGACGTCGAATGTGTAGCATTAAGCTGAGGCTTACGAGACCTTCGACGAGAAGCAAATGGATTGAATTTTATTTTAAACAAATAAAAGAGCTGAAACTTAAATCATCTGAAAAAATATTAGAAAATTGGGAATTTCGAGTTTGATGTTCCCAAGATTTTTGGCTCTCCAAATCTCACTTATTGATTAATCGATTCACAACTAAAGGGAAAAGTATGAGCGAGAAAAGGTGGAACACCAAGCTAAAAATTTCAAATTTCCGAAAATTAAAATTAACGAAAATCAAATTCAATTAAAGCAAAAATCCAAAGTGATGAATTTGTCAAAAGGACAAATATCGGAAAGAAAAAATGTTAAGATAAAAAATTTTTTATTTTTGAAAAACATTTTTTGAAATTTTTTTGAAAGATTCATTTAAATAAAAATGTCAAATAGACTATCTAAAAACAATCACAATACCGAAAATATTTATTTATTCTTCATTTTCCGGGTCAGATGCTTCATAAAGAAAATTGAACCATTTTCCAAAAATGGCGTCAGAATGCTTTTTCATCTCAAATTTGACTCCATTAAAAATTATTGCATGTTCAGGTCCTGGTTGTGTTGGAAGATAGGGAGCAAGTCCATTCCAAACACGTTTCTCGTCAATTTTCCCAAAAAGCTCAACAAACTTCTCTGCGCCCTCAATATACTCATCAATATCATTATATGTCGCTTCTCCCTTGTTTTCGCGAGCCCTAAAGTTTAAAATGAATTGTTATAAAAATGATTTTATCTCTGTTATGGAATAAATTGAAAAGGATTTTTTGAATTAAGTCTGAATAAGGTAAATAAAAATTTCGGGTAGGATATTTAATAGGGATATATTTCGATCCCAAAAAATAATAGTATAACTGAAAAAAAGAATTTAGTAAACAAAAATTACTCATTCATCATTTCAGTATTATAACCAAGTAAAGCTGCGTTAGGTGAACAATCTGCAGCAAATAAACTCAGGTTATATAAAGGATCATTTGACTGTATATTAATTTTGAGATTTTTGTAAAGAAGCTTGACAACCATGGCGTAAGCCTTCCAGCACTTAAAAATAAAAGAAGTACAAAAAATATCAATTTAAAAATACATTCTTGGATGAACGAACATAATCCCCAACACGTTGATATTTCTCCGCCTTTTTAATAAATTGAATTGGATGACAATGCACTTTCTGTAAAAAGGTTAAAAATACAAAATAAGTTGAAAAAAGGGTATACAAAGGTTTAGAGTTCCACCTTTTTCCTTCCAAGTTTTCTCTTTTTTATACGTACAAACAGGTTAGACTATCTCACTTCTCAATTTCACTCAATCCCCCTATAACATATCCAATGAGACATCAAAAAAGGAGCGATTTTTTAATTTTTAAAATTTTTTATCATTTTTTAAGTTAAAATTATTTTCGAAGACCAAAAGACTCAATTGACAGACTGCGAACTTCTGGCCCGCAAAATTCGGATCCACAACTTTGAATCCTCAAAGTTCGATAGGGGAAATATAAACCACGGTTTACCCAAAAAATAAAACCTTTGGAGTTTCAGAAACAAACGTGATATTCAATTTATCACACAACACTCGGTATTGATTATCATCGCAAAAAACAGCGCAATCCTTTCCATTAATATTTAAATGTCGAAGAGGTAATGGCGAGAGAGAAGCATAGTGTTGAAATTGTGGCAAAGTTGAGGAGCTTTGCTTATAATTTTCGAAAGAAACTGCATGCTGGTAAACACGAGGATCCTAAATTTGAGCAGTTCAAAATGATAAAAATATGGTAAGAGTTAAGATTACCAGGTCCCTAAAAAATAAACAAAAAATGAACGAGAAGTTTTGAAGTTTGGCAGTAGTTAATAGTAGTGTCCTGATCCAATCCCGAGTTTTACAATGTCAAATTCTGGGGGTAAAAATGACCACTCATGTCTAATCAACTCAAATTTTAATTCCTAATTCGGACCTTCGAAGAAATAAAATTCGAAAATGTATTCGGATTCTGCGAAGCGCCAATAACCTACAAGAAATCTTGGAAACACCGAAAAGCTATTCCTTATTCTTTCCAAGGACCAGAAATCTTCATTATTACCAAAAGATACCGAAACATTCGAAGAGCCTCTACCAGCAAAAATCGAAAAAGATAAACCTCCACCACAGTAAATTCCACGTCCGGATACGAACTGAGACGATAATTGAATACCAACAAATCGAAGATGTCCAGAAGAACCACCTCCATGGTGGTAAACACGAGAATCCTAAATTTGTCCGTTTAAGAAAATAATTTAAAAAATAAAAACCAAAACATTTGTTGGGCCTCCGCCAGAAAAGGTCGAAACATTAGAACCTCTAACACGGCCATCTACAAAAGGTGTCAGCTGTCCATGTTGTCCAAAAAACCCCCGAACACCACCTCCTCCAGTAAGTAGTGTGTTTTTAAAAATCAAGCCTAAAGATTGCTGCATTTGAAATTAAATTTTTTAAAGTCAATTCCTAAATAAAAGCGGTGAAAAATTAAATTATAGCTGAACTTAAATCATCTGAAAAAATATTAGAAAATTGGGAATTTCGAGTTTGATGTTCCAATGCTTTTTGGCTCTCCAAAATTCACTTATTAATTAATCGATTGGAAATCTTGACTTATAGGGGACTTTTTTTGGCTGGGCCGATTTCGACAAATGATATGTCATTCGAAAGAGCTCGTCGAGCTGAGTCGAATGAGGGGTGAATGGTGTCGATCCGACAATCAGGGACCGAGTTACAGACCCCTGAAATTTAAAAAAGAGAAGGGGGGAGTAAGCTCATTTTGGTCAAAAAAATTCAAAAATGTAAATTATAGCTCATTTTAAAGAACTCCTCGAGCTGAGTCGAATGACACCAAAATCAGCTCGATTGAACAAGTTTGGACAAAGTTATGACACAAAAAACAAACAACGTAAACCTATGGGGCGTCGGCAAGGCGCTTGTGCAAAACTCCGCGCTTCGCGCGGAGTTTTGCGGCACGCGCCTCGCGGGGAGTCTACGGGCGCTGGGTCTGGGCTCGTAACATAAACCTATTCCTATTTCCCTTGCTTTGGACGTACCCGGGGCCTTGTAGCAGCAAAAAACGCGGAGACCATAGGTAAGGAGCTAAAAACGACACATAACTTTGTCCAAACTTGTTCAATCGAGCTGATTTTTGTGTCATTCGACTCAGTTCGAGGAGTTCTTTCGAATGAGCTATAATTTACATTTTTGAATTTTTTTACCAAAATGAGCTTACTCCCCCCTTCTCTTTTTTAAACTTCAGGGGTCTGTAACTCGGTCCCTGATTGTCGGATCGACACCATTCACCCTTCATTCGACTCAGCTCGACGAGCTCTTTCGAATGACATATCATTTATCGAAATCGGTCCAGCCAAAAAAAAGTCCCCTATAAGTCAATAGTACCAATCGATTCACAACTAAAGGGAAAAGTATAAGCGAGAAAATGTGGAACACCAAGCTAAAAATTTCAAATTTCCGAAAATTAAAATTAACGAAAATCAAATTCAATTAAACATTTAAAAACAGAACAGAAATCCGAAGTAATAAATTTGTCAAAAGGACAAATATCGGAAAGAAAAAATGTTAAGATAAAAAATTTTTTATTTTTGAAAAAATTTTTTGAAATTTTTTTGAAAGATTCATTTAAATAAAATGTCAAATAGACTATCAAAAACCAAATCACAATACCAAAATAATTATTTATTCTTCATTTTCCGGGTCAGATGCTTCATAAAGAAAATTGAACCATTTTCCAAATATGGCGTCAGAATGCTTTCTCATCTCAAATTTGACTCCATTAAAAATTATTGCATGTTCAGGTCCTGGTTGTGTTGGAAGATAGGGAGCAAGTCCATTCCAAACACGTTTCTCGTCAATTTTCACAAAAAGCTCAACAAACTTCTCTGCGCCCTCAATATACTCATCAATATCATTATATGACGCTTCTCCCTTGTT